TTGATCACTGAAACTTCTTTTTCTGATACTGCTCAGGTTGCAAAATACAAGGACCCCCGTGATGCATGTGCTGCAATTGTTGCCGAATCATATCGTCTATGGCTTCAATATGAAACTCGTACCGATGATATTACTGTGATTGTTGTTCATGTAAATGGATTAAATGATGTAAGAAGGCTCCTTGATTTTCATCTTCTATATCTCATCACAGCTGTCTTTGTCCTTATTTTCCTTATTTCTTTTAAGCTTTTAATTTTAGTTTTCATCTTCAATGTCAGGCTGCACTCGATCAACCAACAAGTTCTGTTGCAATTTCAAAACCCGCTTTGCCTCAGGTGGTTGAAGTATCCAGATTAGAGTCTCCATCCCATATGAGATGGAATTCTAGAAGCCACCGTGCACGGCATGATATATCACGGTCACGACTACGGTCTATTGAAAGCTCTCTAGAGAATGGTCAAGCATGGGTTCCCCCTTCTCCAGCCTACAGAAAGACTTGGGAAGAAGAAGTAAACTTTCCTTGCTTAATTTATTTCTTTTACTCAAAAGTTTATATACATATATTATTAATGTTTAGTACAATCATAACCTATATATGACAGGCTCAGATTGGACGGGCCTTGAACGATCATTTTCTTTTCAGAAAACTCACTGACTCCCAGTGTCATGCTTTGTTGGACTGCATGCAAAGAGTTGAGGTTCAAGCTGGAGATGTTGTAGTTGAACAGGTATTCTAAAAACTTCATTATATATACACACACACATACAAGGACGGACCCAGACATTTGACTTTAGGGGGCACAATCAAACCCTATACAAATCAAATACTTTATTCTTGATTTTTAAATGATTCATACTTGATTTGAAACAATGCAGATTTACATTTAAATAAATATTTCTTCATTAATATTTTGTTAATCATTTTCATCCATTTGATTTCGAAGAGTCATTTTATTAATGTTTTGTTCATCACAAGAAAATGCATATTTACATTTAAAAATCTTATAATGTATTTGATACAAACAATCAATTCAAGTAATATTCAATACTAATAATCAATTAAATAAACACAATTCGTTAAATATAAGTCAAATTGGATACAATGAGTTCAGACACATGCTATATACACAGTTTGATAAGAGAAAATGCAAATTTAGGTTCTAATTACTTGAAAATTAGATTGGAAAGTGAAAATTGTAGATAAATTATATACGAATTTTAAAAAATTATAAATGTTAAGATTTTGTTAAAAGGCTTGAGGAAAAAAGTAAAAGAGAGCAAGAAAAAATAGAAAAAATCAAATTTATTGTGATTTTGCCCATATTTGGTGGAGATTAGAATCAAATTTTTAGTAAATTTTGATAGAAGTTAAAACAGTTATGGATTTTATGAAATATGTTATTAAAATTAATTATTAACTTTGATTTAGATTAAAATTTAGACTTCAATCGATACCAAACATGATTTTATAAAAATAAAATAAAAATAAAAGTCGGGGGTTCACTTGACCCCCCAGGACCCCCCGGGGTCCGCCCCTGCACACATATATAAAGGATCTATATATTACTAGTCCGAGTTCAACTTGAGTTGTACATTGTTTTGAAATGCTTTATAAGTGCTGTGAAAATAATATATTTAACCCACCATTTATCTTTTTAATCCAAATATGAGAGAAATGCAAGTCCCTGAAAATAATGTTAATTATTATACATATATGTAAATAGCGAAATGCATACTTTGAGTATTAGAATTACAACTAAATGCATAAACGAAGATGAATGACAAATACGATATATGAATTAACGTGAATGTTAATTAATTTAGAATTAATACAAATAAATATATACGTAAATATGAATGTTAAATCATTTATACTAAGCCTCGATTTGGTAGGCATTTTTGTGGAGAGTGCATTTTTTTGGTTGATGTGATAGGGAATATGCGGTTGAAAAAAAAGAAAAAGGTATTGATGTGATGTAAAATATTATTTTATTGAAGAATGTGTGGTTAAAAATGAGTAGAAGAATGAGAATGAAAAATATAACGTGGCTCAAACAGGGGCTAAATGAATATAATTTAATTTTCAATTAAGTGAAACTGGATTCTAATTACTATACATAAACGTGAATAATGAATTACATTCTTGAATGTGAAATTCTAATTAATGTTAATTAACTGAATGTGAATGTTAATTAATTGAGAATTAATAATAGGGATATGGACGTGAATGTGAATGTGAAATTCTAATTAATATTAATAAAATAAATGTGAATGTTAATTAATTGAGAATTAGTAATGTAACGACCTAACCTTGCTCCGGAGCCGTCATCATATCATACGTAGTGTCCGTTTTGGGAGGGCCTAGGCCCATCTTACCCTCACAGCTTTCTGACGTGACCCCAGGATTTGACCAAGACCTCCATCATATGGGAGACTTAAGATGAATATAGGTACCCATTGGACAATATGATATGATGAAGGCTCCAGAGCGAGGTTTTTTGTAACGATCCGACCTTGCGCCAAAACCGTCATCATATCGTACGTATTGTCCGCTTTGGGAGGGCCAAGACCCATCTTCTCACGGCTTTCTGACGCGTCCCCCAGGATTCGAACCCAAGACCTCCATCATATGAGAGACTTAAGTTGAATAATTGGTACCAAGATTCAACTTAAATCTCCAATATATTTTTTGTAACGACCCGACCTCGCGTAGGAGCCGTCATCATATCGTAAGCACTGTCTGCTTTGGGAGGGCCCATGTCTATCTTACCCCTCACGGCTTTCTGACGCGTCCCACATGATTTAAACCTAAGACCTCCATCATATGGGAGACTTAAGTTGAATTTTGGTACAATACCAATTGGGAATAAGATGGGCCTAGACCCTTCCAAAGCGGATAGTACGTGCGATATGATGACGGCTCCGGCGCGAGGTCAGGTTGTTACAAGTAATAGGGAATACATAGTTGAATAAGAATTTTGTAGTATTTATTATACTTCGTAAATTAAATAAATATTGAAAAACGAAAAGTAAAGTATTATTGAAATAATTGAATTGTAGTAGTGCTATAATTGTCCAAAAAATGATTCTTACTTAATTTGATATNTATATATATATATATAACGAGCACCAGTGATTGTACACCAATGGATTTATATAACAAGTATATATTTTAATGAGCATTGGAGCTCATCTTATGTTAAAACACCCGTGACTTGTCATATAAATTCATTAGTGGATTTTAAACTAAATTCAAATGTTGAGGCCCACAATAAATTTATCCACCAATGGATCTATATGACACGTTACCAGTGCGTAACATAAGATGAAGACTGATGTATGTATGGATATTGACTTGTATCTTAAAGAGGACGATGTAAATTTAAGTTATATTCACCGTGTTTACTACCTCATCTAAAAATTTAAACTTTTAGATTAAATGGTTCAGTACGATACAGGAGTAGGCAAAGGTCCTAAGTTCAAGTCTTGTTGCTACGCATTTAATGAAATTGTACATGTATTAGGATGTGATGGATAAAATGGAACCCTGCCTATATATGAGGAGGCATGTTAGAGGATGAATCCCAAATCGGTTATATATAAATATATTAACTAACATCTTGTGCTACTTTGCTTAATAAAGTTGACATTTAGGATGGAATTCCTACAGAACTATTAAGAGCCTATTTGATGGGAATTTTTGGCAAATAAAATTGATAAAAGTTGGTAGGCATGAAATGTGTGGTTAAAAGTGGATAAAAATTGTGGGTGGAATGTAATGTGATTAAAATGAAATTCGACCATTTTTTAAGCAAAAAAGTAGCTACATCAATAGACTTTATGCTCCTTCAAGCAATTCAGTCCGTCTAAAAGCCAAGTAAACTTTCAGATTTCAAGATTTCTATTTTGAAACGAGCTACCACCTTGTAGGGTAAGGATAAATCCCACATCAATTAAATTTAAAACGCTCTGCAGACCTTTTAAGATGGAACTCAAAGTCTTAATATAGTATCAGAGTTTACTAAACTCAAACAGACAATTTAATCCATCTAAAGCTCAAACGAGCATTTGAAAATCACTTAAACGATCCAATATCTTGGGAGAGCATGTTAAATGCTTGATCCCACGTCGGGTAAGTACAAATACTAATCAATATATAAGTGTTTGGGCTATTCTTAACTTGATTGACCTTTTATGATGGTACTTCAATTCTTAGTACATTCTTTGCATCATTGCCAATAATACAATCTTCTACAAAGGACTCCACACACTACGATTCTTGGTGTGCTTTTCAAATGTATTGTAGAGAGTTGCTATAATATACAAGCATCAACTTCAGGCATGGATGCTATAATATAATAAATGATGAACCAGATCGAAGGATTCGTGGACTGAATTTTATGTAAAACTCATGACTAAGTTCATTGATAAAAGCTCTGATTCTGATATTTGAGATACGAAGAAATCTTCTAACTTCTAACTTGGAGATCGTTAGTAAATGTTGGTCCATTTGGTAAGGAATAGCCTTTGTTTCAATTATGGTAGACATAACTAAAAGTAAAATGCTCGTGCTTGTTGCTTTCATACTTATATGGGCTTTTCTTCTTACAAAATGTCTCTCTCTCTCTTGCATCATATGCATTATGATAGATGAATTCTACATGTCTCTGTCAAGTCTAGGATTTTCAGCCTGCACATGGTGGAAGTCTAAATTTACAACTCCGAGCCAATATAAGTCTGTTGCTGTAAGCGTAATTAATTTGTATTTGGTAGGGTGGAGATGGTGAATGTTTCTACGTTGTTGGCAATGGCGAATTTGAGGTCTTCGCAACGCAGGTGCTTATACATTTTTGTTGTACTGAAGATATCACAGATCTTCTAGATTTATCACATATTAATCTATGTATGACAGTAGGCATGTCAATGACATCATGAAGATAAAACTAATCTTTCAGTTGAAATATCAAGCTCAATTGATTTCATTTTCAATATCTAATATGCCATCTCTGACATGGAGCATATTATGTCAGGAAGAGAAAATTGGAGAAGTGCCTAGGGTTCTACAACATTATACTGCTGAAAAGTTATCTTCCTTTGGGGAGCTGGCACTGATGTGAGCTATCTACAATTTCCTGTTGCTTGCATCGGGTTTTCAAAAGTTTGATCAATATGTTTAAATGAAATATAATCATATAGAGATGTAGGAAGGAAGGTCTTTCTTCTGTCTTTTGACAGAAAAATCTGTAATTAGAAGTTGAAAAGTTATGACATCAACCAAGTCACTAACTTTTATATTAATTTTCTGGAGACACAATTCATTGATGAGATATATCAGGCCATCTTTTGCTGGCTATTGATGCCAAATATGGACGGTATTAGACTTTATAGCTGATTTGATCTCAATATCAATGTTTTCAGGTTTTCAATTTCTTACCTGCAGGTCTAATAAACCCCTTCAAGCTTCTGTCAGAGCGGTGACTAATGGAACTCTGTGGGCACTTAAAAGAGAGGATTTTAGAGGAATCCTCATGACAGAGTTTTCTAATTTGTCATTATTGAAGTTACTACGATCTGTAGATATTCTTTCAAGGTTGCCAGTTTTACAGCTGAAGCATATTGCAGATTCACTTTCACAATTGTCTTTTTCTGATGGGCAGAAAATAGTTGATGAGGTATATTTTGTTTCTAAATTCGAATTTCTTTTTCAGTTCCTTCTCTCATTTTCTTTTGACCATTCATCTGCAGAGTGAGGACCTTCTGGGAATGTACATCATCCAGAAGGGTGTGGTGAAAATTACTTGTGACGTGGATTCAGCAAAAAATGTAAATGCATATAGTATTATACCTTCATCTGACAATCACTATGATGATATAACCAACAAGAGTCTCTCTGTGGAGAAGACTGAGGGGAGCTATTTCGGAGAATGGAAACTTCTTGATGAAGATATTTCTCCCTTTAGAGCTGTCGCTGTGGGCGATGTGGCATTCTCTGTCTTAACAAGGGAAAAGTTTGATGCAGTTGTTGGCCCTCTGGCAAAGTCTTCGCAGGATGATCATAAGTATGCCTTAAGTTTCTGTATTTTAATAAAATAATCATTGGCTATCTATATATATCTGGTTTATATAACACAATCTGGAACTTAAGAGATATTGTTTTATTTTTCTTGTTTCTTATCTTGACCCGATTTGGCTGTTAAATTTGATTAGGTCAAAGGACTACTCTACTAGTTTCTTCTTGGAATCTAACAAAAAATTGGAAAATTTATCTATTGACAAGGTCCAGCTCGTTGATTTGGTAAGCACATTAGCGTTTTTCCAGATTTGTTTTAAACTTTTACGCAAAAAAATAATTCTATAGTAATTTTTTCAAGGAGTGGAGAACGTGTTTATATTCTACGGACTGCTGTGAGATTGGCCTCGTAAGTTTGAGAGAGACAGGTTGGTCTTCTTCAGTACACTGTTCAAGTTATTCTTTTCATAATTTATCAATTCCAACTGGTGCTAGGCACTGCCACCAAACACTTCCTGGAGGTGCTCTTTAATGATGATTTACCTTGTACGGTTGGTTTATGGAAAGATGGCCATGGATGTCGAATTCAATAATGCATTTAAGGGGTATATTTTTATGATATTACACTCCACAATGTTCATTTTCCTTCCTTTTCCTATCATCTGCAGAAAATCTTCTTAGCTTGAAGAGGTTTTCTAAGCGGAAGGTTAAAAAACTTGGAAAAGAAGCACAAGTCCTGAAAGAGAAGTATCTGATGACGAATATAAACCCGTCTGCTTGTGTTCCTCGAATTATATGCACTTCTGCTGACTATACACATGCTGGCATACTTCTAGATACGCGTCTTGCTTGCTCTTTGACCTCAATAATTTACAAGGCACTTGATGAACCATCTGCACGGTTCTGTGCGGCCTCTGTTGTTATTGCCTTGGAAAATTTGCACAAGGTAGCTTTTTGCAAGATCGATTTCAATTTCCTATGTGCCTTTGATTTTTAAAGAGCTATTCAATAATTTTTCATTATTTTCAGAATGGCATTCTCTATCGAGGTGTGACCCCTGATGTTCTAATGTTAGACCAGGCAGGATACATACAGGTTATAGAATTTTTGTTTCTACATTCAGCAATGTTTTTCTGTGTGTTCCTAAACACACAACTAACCAGATTTCTGAATAGTCAGTTAATTGATGATTTGTTTCTTAATACTATAGCTAGTGGACTTCAGGTTCGGGAAGAAGTTTTCTGGTGATTGTGGTGAGAGAACATATACCATATGTGGTATCGCAGATACTTTGGCCCCAGAAATTATCCAAGGGAAAGGCCATGGTTTTCCTGCTGACTGGTATTCCACCGTCATTTACTTTCATGTTTTAGTTTACAAGGATTTCAAGGTAGCCAAGTGCATCATCAACTGTTGTTTACAAAAACATGTAGAAAATTGTTTTGAAAAAAACGAACAAGCTATCTTTTTCTCGTTGACTGGGAAATAAGTTGACTGCATAGTGCAATGGAAAGCAATATTGAAAAATCAAAAACTAACTAAAAAGCATTACAGGGATACATAAAGTAGCTACTATTTAAACGTTTTAAATTGATATATCATATATGGAACTGCAAACCATTGTTGACTATGGGGATTGATATAAAGAGGAAAACTATAGTATGCCAGACAGTGCTGTATTAGTTACTACTCAGATAGACATGTTTACCTCCTTTGAGATTAAATATTCCTAAATTGGTCACTGCTTTATCTACCCACGATTCATTTGGGATTTCAGCAGGAAATTGTTTCTGGAACTTCGGAAGGTTAGTTTATTGGAGGAAGGTGTAGTCACTTATATAGAAGCGTGAATAACCAATAAGAAGAGGCTTGGCCCTCCATGAACGCTGTATAAATTCTGTGAGATTGAATCTTTCGTTAGTACACTAGGACATAATTGACCAATGAAACATGAATGCTATATTCAATTTCAACTGTTGTATAGTGCCATTCTTACTTTTGGATGTTTCTCACTGTTATCAGCTAGTTTGGGTTGACGTTTGCTTGTGTCATCTGCTTATTCAAAATTTTTGAATTAATTCTTCAGTTTTACTCACACTTCCAATAATTACGAGTACAATTCAGAGTTATACCAACTAGAGAAGTGCACGCATGAAAAACACGTGAGAAATTCACTTTTTATTTATTTCACATATACAATTTGTTTCACACAAATTTATTGCCCTTCCATGTTATTTCTGCATTTTTTTTTTCATTTGCCTAAATGTTCATCATCTTTTCATTATGTGAATTTCACATTATTTAAGGATGACTTCCATGTGCTTGTGTTATATATGAACTTTGATGCTTGATTGTTAATATTATTTCCCGTCGACTATCCAATTATTTTTGCGTTTGTAGGGAATTTTCTTTTATACTCTGCCATATAAAATTTTCTTCCCTCTAACTGTGTAGGTGGGCGCTTGGAGCTTTGATCTACTTCATGCTAAACGGGGAAATGCCTTTTGGTTCTTGGAGAGAAAGTGAGCTCACGTGTGCTAGAATTGTGAAAGGACAGCTAACCCTCCCACAAACTTTCAGCCTTGAAGCTGTTGATCTCATTACTAAGGTGGAATTGAAGTATCAAGTTATTTTTTAGTTTTATTAATTTATGAGTAACTACTCTATTCTAACAACTCGTAGCATCCAGTTACTAGATGTTGATGAAAGCACTAGACTTGGAACCCAAGGCATTGACTCTATTAAAAGTCATCCATGGTTCGACGATATTGATTGGAAAAGATTAGCAGAGAATACTTTTCCTGTTCCCAATGAGATTGTCTCGCGTTTAAATCAATACCTGGAAAGTCATTCTGAAGATGCAGCACCTTTGTTGAATTCTCCATTACAAGAGGTGGAAGAACTTAACACCCCAGAATGGCTTGAAGACTGGTAGAACAGTTTAATTGGCTTATTGCTTCTTGTTCCCTCTACAACTGCACTTTTTCCCTCTTCAGTTTGCTGGTGGACTATTTACCATATCGATCCATGACTACCCTTGTCGGAATGAAGAGGGACACTGTTATATATCCTGTACATGATTTATCTGTAGCCATGGAGAATTTACTACCACTTCTGCAGCTTATAGAGGTCAGCCAGTGTATTTATTTATTTTCTAATGAGACGTTTGTGAATATGTAAAATGCACGAACACTCTTTTTGTTTCTCCTTAATCCCCACTGAATTGTTAGTAAAATTTTGCCTGTATAACACCGTCGCTACTAGTCAAATCCCAGATTCTCTCCCATAGATCTACCTTCATTTTTCTTGGTGTGATTGTATTATGTATACAAATACTCATTTTTACTAGACAATCTAAGTTATGCTTAACTAACTAGTTACATGTCAACATCTGACGCAGTTTATTTCAATATTTTGACATTTGCAAAGTTGCCAAAACATTAATGGCTGATCCATTTCTATTGTACAGAAATTTTCTTCATTCTCATATGAAGTGTTTTAATGGTTTGGTTTTGTGCTGGTGATTTTACAAAATATATTGTTTCTCCATTGTGGTGGCATAAATCTGTGTGGTTAGGTGTGTTGTTTTTGGCTAGTGGTAGTGGCTAGCTATTAGCCCCTTGACCTTGAGATGAGCAACGGCTATGGCACGGGCTCTTTCACTCCATGCCATGATGCCAAAAGGTTCACCTGTTTGATGGAGTAGTCTAATTCTTTATAAACCCACCATCTATCTAATGTCTAATTGATGGGGAACTTTGTTTGCACTTTCTCAACAATCCTCCTTTCCAATGAAGCATTGCCATTTTTTGACCTCTCTTCAAGCGATAGTCTACAATCTCTACTCAAATCAAGAAGAATCACATACTTTATTAAGGTCCAACTCTTCGATTGCATCAAGGGTCGCCACCTTACGTGGACACACCCTCTTAAAAATCAATAAGGGATTTTCCCATCCATCACAATCTAAATCAGGTCCCACCACCTTCATTTGTAATTGGGGATTTGTGCTTTCAAAGAACCTAAGTTTGGAGCCTAATTCTAATATCACATGTACAGTAGCTGAATCCACATATCTAGGCACAAGTACTAACTCGATTGAGGGTGAACCAAGTCAAATAGCAATTTTTGTCTAACTGGCAGGCGGTTGAACCAAATCAAATATCATTTGGGGGCTCCGCTCTTCAAGTCAACCACAACATCAATGTCCGTAGTAATATCTGAAGTTGAGCTCTAAGGAATACTGTAGTCTAATCACAACACTTGCTGCATTATGGTGCAGTTTCTACTGCAGCAAATAAGGGAAGAGAGAGTAGAAATAAAAACAAGAATGTAGTAGGATGCATAGTTATCAAACTCGACTCCTAAGTTGATCCGGGAAAATAATCAGGTCATTGGATCAGGTTGGACAACTGGTTGAACCAGTGGGTCAATGCTGAATTTTAATATCCTTTTTTATTTACAATAAATTTTGTTGTAGAATTTACCTTCATATAAACTTAGGTCGATGAAAGTGTTTCGTAAAACTAGCAGTTTCAAGTGTAATTCTCCTCATTATAGACAAGGGTTTGAACTTATGCAACACAATTAAATTTTATTTCATAGCTTTTATTCAATATTTTTAGTCTTGCCATCTTTCTTGTTGGACAGATTCACATACCCAGTTCCAGTAAACTATAACGTGTCCGGATCTAACTGCCTTTGACTGGGTTACTTGGTTCTTGATCAGGTCCTTAGGAATCTTGTCCAAAAAAGTAGACTGGACCGGTTCCATGTTTGGTTCGACGGCTTTCCAGTCAAACCGGTCCGGTCCGATTCTTATAGCTAAGGTGGGATGTGAGATATGAATGAGAAAAAAACTACTATATTTGAAGTGTTGTAATCGCATGCCATTGACTCGAGCAAAGCTCGAAAGAACCAAATCAAGTATGTCCGGACCATGATCATGACCCTACCTTGGTTGATCAAACAAATGTACATATCCATTACCTATAGTAGAGAATCAATTAAAGCAGAGAAAAAAAAAATAATAAACAATTTAGTATAACTTGGTGGCATTATATAATTATATACATGTCCTTGGGGATTTGTTCTTCCTAATTTCCTCCTGCGCCTTTGCTCTTTTCTTATGTTTGGTTGTTCTCTCTCTCTCTTTGAATTGCTATCCTCTATATATATACTGTTTCATCGTGTGCTGATGGTTGGTTTTATTGTAATATTCGCTATCAAACGCCTATCGATTTTTGGAATACCAAATTTCTCCTTTCAACAAACCTGAAAAACTCATCTTGAATATGTACGGGATGATCAATAGGATCGAACATGAGTTTGAACCACGAACAAAACTGAAATAAAATAATGATTCGAGCCCACCGAATTCACTATGTGTCCTTCAAACGAATTTGCTCCATATGATGTTTAAAGGCAATCTTTCAACAAACCTACTTACTCATCTTGAATGTGTACGAGATGATCAACAGGATTGAACATGAGTTTGAGCCGCAAACAAAACTGAAATAAAATAACAATTCGAACCCACTAAATTCACTATGTGTCTTTAAAACGAATTTGCTCCCTATGGTGTTTAAAGGCAAATGGTAATCGTCTTTCAGGATAGAATGAATTTTTCCTTTTAAATAAGCAGTGCATCAATCTGAAAGAATTCCAACGAATACAACTTTTTTATTTTGTACTCGAAAATCTGAACAGAATATATGAAGTATTGCATTTGTATATGTTATGGTGAGTAACATTATTATTTTGTTGTATATTCATATATGTACAATCTAAAATTGGAGTGTAAAATATGGCACAGAAGAAGACTATTTATAGAGTGTTCATAGCCATTTAAACGGCCTAAAATGCATTTTCTCGAATAGTGGTGACTGTTCGGAACCCTTCCAAACGGAAAGATTCGTCACTTACAATCGATCAAAAATGTCGATTAAGGTCATAGACGGTCATAGCCACAAACAGACGTCGATCAAAACCAGAAAGCCCCGTAAAAAAAGCCAAACGATTCAAAATATAATAAATAATAACAAAGAACTCACACACACATGCACCGCACCGACCTGGATTCGAGCCGTGCACGTGTCGTGCCAATCAAGCCGACCGGACAGATGACGATGACACACTTGTGAGGTTTGGATTGAACCCAATAGAATCAAGGTCGCCACCCTTCCAAAAACTAGTGCCACTCCTTTGGGCCAAAATTCAATTGCCAAACTTCCACTATTTAAACCAAACAAAAGTTTTCGGAGTTTTCCTATGTAGGATAAGTGATGGAAATTGAATCAAATTCTTCATTTGTACCAAGTTCAAGTAGGTTAGGTTACTTTGATTCAAAATATTTCATTCAAAACTAAATAATTTTCGATAAATAAATATATCACGTTAGTCCTTTCACTAAGTAGAACATAAATATGCTTGGTCACATTAATTTTGGATTATGAGTCTAACTGAAATTTGGGCTCAAAGTTGACCAATTTCACAATTGTAAAACTATTTTTCCAAGGAGTTTGATATGTGTCATTGTTATGTGTAATTAATATGAGGAGTTAATTTTAGGTCTCACGTGTCTTTTAAAAGTCAAAAGATATTTTTAAGATTAATAATCTACTTTTAAATATGTTTTGATGAATTTCTAAAAGAGTCTCGTCTAATTAGAAGAAGTTTTAAAGGAAATTGATTTAAAAAATTTGTATTGCGATGCTCTTCTTAAAAAAAAAAAGCAACAACGTCAAACAAACCTTTGTGGTGTTATCTAGAATTTGAATAGGATTCAAACATATGATCCTGTTAAAAGCAATAATGCTACTCAAATAGTGAGATTTTGCGTCATGCGTCCCCCTATTTTTAAATTCTGTCATTGAACATATCACCGTATCATAAGTCTGATACATCATAGATGCATTAGGTTTTATTATTGAGTAATGTTATTCATCCCCAGTGGGTATGAAAACACAGTTTATGTGGTTTTAAATGATAGGTTAAATGAAATGTGAAATTAAATAAATCTGATTTATTTAATTTCACCTATCATTTAATGCCATATTGACGCCACGTAGACTGTGTTTTCATCCCCAGTGGAGATGAATAGGATTACTCTTTATTATTCACTCTTTTTTCTCTCTCCTTTCATTTTTTCTTGAGCCCCTAAAAATTTAAAATCCTCATAATGACAATACACTTTCCTATAATTCACTCACAAAACTTTCTATGATTCATGCATATCCTCACTCTTATTTTTTTATGTTTTTAAATTTAAATCGTAATTTAAAAATAAATTTGTAAATGGCGCAAGAAATATGATATTTTGATCATTAAATGGGATATTTTAATCCTGCCCCCACCCATCGCCACTCATAAATATAAGTATGTATAGTTTTGTTCACCTAAATTCTTACCCATTTGACATTGTACCAAAACATAGCCAAATTCGTGTCACATATATTATTGTATACCGAAATTAAAAATACCCGACAAATTTAATTAAATATTAAAGTTGAGATTAAACTAAAAAAAAAAAAAAAAGAACATAAGAGATGGTCCATTGTCAGCCTGGAAATTATTTTAACATAACCTGGCTAGTTGTTAATACTACACATGGCCTTGGAGTTTCTTGATGTCACGTCTCAATCTATTGTTCTATTATTATTCATATTCTTTGTCTTCTTCTCTATCGAAAGGTTCCTTTTACATTGCAAATTGGTTGATTCTATCCATTTCGTCCTTCGCCCCGTCTGTATCGCTTGATGCAACCACACGCAGTGGGTGTTTGGCCTCCATTTTTTTTAGGAAAAATTAGTTTTTCAATAGTGATTGATGGGAGAATGTGTGCTGGAAAAGTGATGAAAAGTTTAGATTTGTGTGTAATATTATTTTATTTGGAGAATGTCTGGTTGAAAATGAGTACGGTAGAAAAATGAATGG